TCACTTAAACTTCAGTGTGATGTGTGTACCGGTGTGATTCAATTTTAGGCAATGCACAGGTATATAATGCAGATAAACGTGTTTTTCAGGTTACAAATTAATCACAAGAATTCAATTAACAGAATTCACAAATAAGCAACCAAGCAACATGCATAAACTGGTAAAAATATCAAACCTAACCTATCGGAGAGTTTGGAATAATCTTACCAAACTACTGTTGAAAAACAGTAACAATATACCCCCAACCCTCGAGGTCAAATAAGCCAGCTGGTTTCCAGAATCACCAGTCACCCAATCAGTCAACAATATGCACAACACAAAGTCCTAAAGTTGAGAGCAATAGAGAGGAGGAAGAAGAAGAATCGTATGGAGGAAGCCAATGTTATATTCAAACATTGACCAAGAAAATATCTAACCAAGACTAAAACCCAGCCATAGATCAAAATTGAGGGCCACAAATAATCCTCAACAAACACACGATCCGGGTACTCTTCATGTAACCAATAAGTGAGTGCCACCTAGGTAACAATAAGAGTGGGTAAAGGAAACCGGCCCAACCAAGTTAGGAGAACCACTAAGGCCCAATAAGCCCACAAAAATATTTGTCCAAGTCGAAGAAAACATAATGAAAACCAGAATGGAAATCTTCTGTCTTTTCTCTTTATTGGGTTATATTTTATATAATCCAAAGTGCTAACTGCTCACTGTAAAATGCTAAATATCTATGAATTGCTTACTGTCTTCTGTCTAACCATCCATGTTGATTGTGTTTGATTATTTTTTTAAATTATATGTTTTGAGTAGGTGATAGCCTAATACAGTTTTTTTCTTTTTTTTTGTGATATGGTTTCGAAAACCCTGCTTTACATTCTTTGTAAATTTATTTCTTGTAATTTTTTAAATATACCCGGTTTAACCTTTTGGCCTTGACCCTTTTTCTCTTTCAGGTCGATGTTCTGATTGATTTTTAAAACAGTTTGAAAAACCCAGGATGTATATTCTTATACGAGGAAATTACAAAAAAAAAACAGGTGTTTAAAGATTGCATTTTAAAAATCAGCTCAAAATTTTATTTATTCAAAAATCAGGTATTGTATTAAAACCTAACTCTAATTTATTACTCCAGTCCATCCCGTCTCTCTCTCTCTCGCCTCGCCTCGCCTCCCCTCTCTCTCTATTCTCTTTCTACCTTTCTTCTCTCTACTAGCATCGGCACCGGCTACTGAGAAACTGAGCTTCGCTTGTGTCGGTGTTGCGGCTACTGTGAGCATCAGTGTGAGTGTCGCTCGCTAAGCGTCGATCTGAGCGACCCTCAGATCGACGCTTGAGCATCGGTGTTTGTGCTCACAACGGCGACGCTGATCTGGGGGATTTTGTGTGTGCAGAAGCCGATTG